TACTTACGGGCGAGAACAAAGTACTTACGGGCGAGAACAAAGTACTTGCACTTGTGAAGTGGCAATGATCAATACGATCAATCTCAAAAGTCCAGAGCCTTTGCTAAAACTGTACTCTGCACTGGTCAGATTCCATTACGCCCTATTCAACCACTCCTCTAGAAGGAGGCTATCAGATCTTAACAGTGCAGAAAGCAATAACGTTAATCTCTAGTGCAAGGAGGAGCTAGTTGATAAGCTGGATATCTTCATTTTCAAAAAAGATACATTTCATTGGGTCTATGGAATTACATTTGAGGAATAAAAAGCAAATTAAAATATACTCACAGATACACTGAGGCAAAGCAGCAGAGAGATGGGGTGTGAAAACCAAGGCTGGGACTTTGGATCTAGACTTGGAGGAAATTCTTCCCACAGAGTTTGGCCAGATGTAAAAGATTGTTGAGCAGATAGACCAGACTCTATTAATTACTAGATGATATTATGTGATGACAAGAAGGTTCTGGGAAATGAGTTGGGATCAAATGGAGAGAAGACATTCTTCAACCAAATCCATCTTGAGGTACTGAGATCCATTCAATCAGTCTAGTTTATTCACACCTGCTTACGGTTATCATTCACATCAGTACTGGGTGGGCAGGTCTCAAAAGGGCTCTCACTTGCACAGTGATGGGACCTAGTTCTCTAAAATGACCAAAATAGCTATCACCACGTAATGAATCCCAAAGTGAAACCTTAGATGAAATTGCAAGTCCCTTAAATAAAAACATTTCAGCCCCATATTTGATCATCATGGCTATCCAAAGATTAATTTTAACGTTTAAGAATAGCAAAAATAAATTAACAAACCTCAGGCCAGAAGCTCATACCTACAGAAGCTGTGATAATCTGATGCTCAGGAAACCAGGACTGGTTAGCAAGACTTGGCTCTATACTTGCAGAGGTCGTGGCAATGAAATTTCTGAGGTTTGTAGTTTTCTGGTAGGTTATGACGGCTGGGATCAACACTACATGGAGAAAACAGTCCAATTACCCCTGCAGTCTCATTCTTTACACCTTTCATTTCCATTCATCTCCATTTAAAATATACACAATGACTTTCTTTAGCTTGTACACCTTGTTAATTGAGTGAAAATCAGGTTGCAGTCTGTTCAATAACTACTGTATAAAAGTAAAGGTGGTATTCACACTTTAACCAATTTTATAAAGTTACATGGTCAACAAAGTGAGTGGTGCATTCAACACACCAGGCACAGATAGTGCAGGTCATACTGCAAATGAAATGACCTTCTGTTTCATCCTAAAATATACCTTAATTCTCTAAGTTAATATCCATTACCACTTCAAATACCAGGCATTCCTGAGGTTTTCATTTAGCAAATAACTGCAAGCTTCCAACTGATGCACTTTTTCCATACGTTCAGGGGATATGGAAGCCAGCATTTATTGTCTGTCCCTAATTGCCCTGAAGTAGATGGTGGTGAGCTGTATTCTTAAACTGTCGCAGTCTATGTGGATTGGGGACACCTGCAGTATTATTAGGGAGGGAGTTATAGGATTTTAACCCAATGACAATGAAGGAACAGCAATGTATTTCCAACTTAGCATGGTAAATGATTTCCAGTCGAATTTACAGGTGGTTGCAATTGTTGGGGTCAGTCATCCCAGAGTGACTACATCTCCGCAGGAGTTCATCAGGAAAGTATCCTAGTCCCAACCGTCTTCAGCTTCTTCATCAAAGACTTTTCCCCCATCATAAGATCAGAAGTGGGGATGTGAACTGATATTACACAGTGTTCCAGCATCAATCAAGAGACCACATATACAGAGGCAGTCCATGGTCAAATATACAAGTTTGGGCAGATAAGTGGCAAAATTCTGATTTTTTCTTCACAGGTGCTAGCAGACCTGCTGAGCTTTTCCAGCAACTTCTGTTTTTGTTCCTGATTTACAGCACCCACAGTTCTTTCAGTTTTTACAACCACAGTGATCATCTCCAACAACAGAGTCTGTCACCCCACCGCATGTAATGGCATTACAATTGCCTAATGCACCAACATCTGGGTGTAACCATTGACCAGAAAATTACACCACAGAGACAGACAACCGAACCAAATCAGCCTTTCCACCTTTGTATTCATAACACTGTAAAATTAAAACCTTCAAAGACCCCCAGAATGGATTCCAATGGTTCCAACCCAGATTTTTGAATGACCAATCTCAAATTCTGCAAATAATCAATTCCAGACACCAGTTTTATCTTAAACAAAAAATTCAACAATGTATTCTCAATATATGAACTTTAGCAGAGCAACAGTACTCTAACTGGTCTATGCTTTAAACCCAAAAACTGTTATCACTCCAAATACCAGGCATTCCTGAGGTTTTCAGGCCCATTCACGCAAAAGACAAATAGACAGACAAGCAAACGCAGTTGAGGGATAAATAAAAGAAACCAAAACAGACCAATTACTTATGTGATTTTCACAGTGAGTTGTCTCATAAGCATTGGTGATGGACTCTTGGTTGATTTTCTGAAGATGTCGATCAGAGTCACCTTTATAATTCACTCCAATTGGTTTTCTATTCTCTCAGCTTCCAAAAGCTGCGAATGCGAAGTTAGGCAGAGAGCTTTCAAATATTCATGCTGTAGCATCAGCAGCACTATTCCTTTTCACTGAAAACCCAATTCAACTGTGACCATTCCTTCCAGATTGACTATCGCCTCCTTGAGGTTCCAGTTACCATTCAGCATCTGCTATTTGCTTGGGCTAAGGACCATTTCCAATCTTGCTGGAACCAATTCCTAGGTACTGACCTCATTAACAGCCAACTTCTGCTATCTGTTTAAACATAATGCTCTTCTCCAGAAATGAAGCCTCTGCAGAACCTTTTGACCAGGAACGAACCTGCGACTAACTTCCAGACCCGGCCTCACAAATAAACAAAAGCTTTCCTTTTCACACAACCTGTTACTCATGTCCAAAAGACATCTTTAGCTCACTGTTCCCAGCTCCAAACCAAAATTGATAGAATAAAATAAAAATAATGAAAAAAAACCAGCAAGGTTCCAACAACATAAATACTGTAGCCACAATAGCAGGTCAGAGGCTTGGGATCCTGCAGTGAGTAATTCACAGGGGGCACTCAAAGACTGTCCACCATCAAGCACTTTCAGTCTTCTTTCAAGTGGTGTTCAACATGGAGGAGTATAATTCATCAGCTGAAGTGGAAACAGTATGCGGTAATCAAAAGAAGGTTTATTTGTCCATGCTTGATTGATGCTATTAGACATTCTAGGGTCCAGAGTCAATGCTGAGGACACCCAAGGTTAAGTGTCACTTGATTGCATGTCATAGTGCGTCTGCTGGGTCCATCAATGGGACAGGATGTACCCAGGTATAGTGATGTTGGTCTCTGGGACTTTGCCTGTAAGGTGCGATTCCGTGAGTATGTCTAGTCTATGAGAAAGCTCTCGCAGTGCTTAGCTTGCTGTCTCGTTTCTGGTGCCTAGATTAATTCCAAGTGATGCATCCAGTTTAATTCTTTTGAGACTTCTTAGCTGTTTTATACATATATGAGTGGCCTACTATGCTATTTAAGGGAGTAGTTAAGAGTCAACCACATTGCTGTGGGTCTGAAGTCGCATGTCGGCCAGACCCGGTAAGGTTGGCAGATTTCCTTCCCTAAAGGACATTAGTGACCTAGATGGGTTTTTACAGCAATCAACAATGATTTCAATCATTTCATCATCATTAAAATTCTAATTCAAGACATTTTGAATTCAAATTCAACCATCTGTCCTAATGGGATTCAAACACCCACAGCTTTACCTGTACTCTGGATTACCAGACCAGCAACAGTTGTCCACTTACACAATGAATAACAATGTCAATACACAGAAGTTGTACCACAGAAATGTTTTGCCCATATTTTAAGTGGTCCCAGAAGAACAGCAGTGTGGTGGGTCATATTACTGCATCACAAAATGGCAGTGCGCTGCTGCAACTCACAATCCCCTCCACGCAGAAGTTCCAAATCCAGATATCACTCTTAAAAGAAATGCTGGGTATGAGTTGGGACAGATCGCGGGAATAGCAGGGGAAGAACTCCCAAGGCTGTTCCTGCACTTCCCCAGTACCAGATTAAATGTCTAAGGTCAGAGGCTCAATTACATGTTCAGGGACACTAGGCCCACGGAAGGGTATCCCAGCCCAGGCAGGCAAGAAAATACTACCAGTAAGGTTTTACGACACAACTTAGTACACGCTAGACACTCCTCAACCAATTGCTCTCTGTTCTAAGCTCCAACATTATGGCAAAACTGTCCTTCACTAATTAACTATGGTTTCAAGAGCAGAAGCAAAGGAGAACAGTATTTTCTTAAATCTAAGGAAGTTTATTGATGACTGTTTGGATTTCTCTAGTTTGAACAACTGGAAATCAAGAATTGCAAAGCATAAGAGTCAGCCATTTAGCCCATCACGTCTGTGCCAATTCTTTGCAAGAATTCACCTAGTGGTCTCATCTGTTTGCTTAATCCCCGACAACCCTACAATTTTCATCCGCTCCCCATCCCTTTTGCATTTATCAAATCACCTTTTGAAAGTTTATTGGATCTGCCAGTGGAAATTAATTCTACTAACTCTACAAAACTCCCCAATTTAAATTAGTTAAAGTAAAAGAAATAGCTGTATGCAAATAGTACCATTTCTGTACAAATATGGTACTTACATCCTTGGCCATTTTGGATATGGATATCATCACTAATTCCATGGTTATCCGCACAAGCTGCAGCAGTTAGAGAAGTCACACAACGCCAGTCAAAATCTTCCAGGTAAGCCACAGGTGCATTTGCCAAGCATTGACCATTCAAAGATCTCTTAAAGCATAAACACATAGACAAAGAGTAAAAGTGGTGGTGTTACTTTCTTCCTCAGTTATACAAATTAAAATCTCATAAACATTCAAGATTTCCACAATTTCTGAGAACATAAGATATAGGAGAAGAACTACAATATTCATCTCAAGCTTGCCATGCTATTCAATATGATCATGGCTGATATGTCCCAGCCCTAAACTCTTCTTTCATGCAAGCTCCTAATAGCCCTCACCTCCCCAATATTTCAAGAATCTACCTTCTACAACTAGAGTTGGTTCAACTGTGGAAGATCTCAGATCTTGCAATAGAACAGTTGTGACATGCACACTGCTTTTTCTGTCACTTAAGGTACATGAGGAAATGAGTGAAGTTTACTTTTAAATTTTCAGAATGTGTAAACACTGAATGTATATTTAAAAATGCACACAGTTTAAATGGTGCTTTAAAAAGCAACATAGTCAAAAAACAAAATATAATAAAGAAAATAAATATCAAATTAAAATGTATTGCCATACCTGGAAACATTCTGAATTGTGAGAAAGTGATGTCACTGGCCTATTAACAAGTCGCAAATAGAAACACTTTATATAGAAAATTAATTTTTCTTGCCTTGCTCGACCTAGCATGGTAAATATTTGTTTAAGAATTTTTGAATATAATTCATACCCTATAAAGAGTCTTGCTCTAATTCATGTCCAATTCTGTTGCTCATCAAACAAACAATTTCCATGATATCAGTGACTTATGACCAACTCATTTCCGTGATGTTTGGTTCTGCTGACCATGAAATCATTGTCAATTGTTGGGAAAAATCCATCTGGTTCACTAATGTCCTTTAGGGAAGGAAATCTGCCATCCTAACCTGGTCTGGCCTACATGTGACTCCAGATCCACAGCAATATAGTCGACTCTTAATTGCCATCTGAGTAATTAGGAATGGGCAATGAATGCTGGTCCACCTAGTGATGTCCACATCCCAAGAATGAATAAAAAACTGGTACCAACCATCAGTGTCCATGTTCACAGACTGATAATATATGCTCTACCAAATGATAACTGGCATGTGCAAAGCTGCATACCAAGAAGTAGCTCTTTGCAACATGAGATGGGAGAGGCAGTAAACTGGCAAAATAGAGAGGAATTGGTTGGGGATCACATTGACATGAAGAAAACACACTAACTATTACCTCCTCAGGGGAGGACAAATCTGATAAAACCTTTAGTTCTCTCAAGACTGTGACGTGAAAGGCATTTGGGGATTTACACATACATATTAATTAATTAAAACCTTCTAACTGATTAAAGATTTAACAGCATCTTAGGTTTGTTTAGTACATCCTCAGCAGTGGTGTGACCCTTTGATCTTTTACATAAATTCTGCGTCTGATACCACCTCTCTCACTAACACCTGAAAAAGGACCGAGACTCCGAAAGCTTATGTTTTCAAATCAACCTGTTGGACCATAACCTGATGTCGTGTGATTTCTGACCTTGTCCACCCCAGTCCAACACCGGCACCTCCACATCATGGTTTATTTGAAATCAATCAAATTGCACACCAGCCCAATTGCTTTCAAAAAACACCTTTATCAATCACATCAAATCAAACACTACAGGAACTTAGCCAGATTCTTCCAATAACATTAATTTAGAATCATATAATTCCTACAGTGTTGAAGCAGGCCGTTTGGCCCATCGAGTCCACACAGACCGCCAAAGAGCATCCCCCCACCCAGACCAAGAGCCAAGCCCCTACCCTGTCCTTGAAACCCTACCTTTCCCATGTCTAACCCACCTAAAGTAAACATTCCTGGACACGATGGGCAATGTAGCATGGCCAATCCACCTAACCCGCACATCTTTGGATGGGAGAAGAAACTGGAGTCCCCAAAAGAAAACCCACTATTATACATCCTTGCCTAAATAAAAATGACCTTGCTTCACAAAGTACTTCACTGACATGAAAGATAGTGATAAGGAACCATACAAATGCAACTTTTCACCTCATATCTAAAAAAAATTAGGCTTATAAATTAAACTCAGCTTGCACATTTGTCTAATTAGACAACTGATAAATTAGACCATTGATCCATTGAGGTTATGAAACTCATTTTTAATTTTAAGGTTTGTAATAGTCCTTTGTCTTTCTTGAACTTATTATATTATAGTGAAGATGCACTATCATTCCTACCTGTGGAATAATAAGGTATTCATCTTCATTTTTAACAATATGATCACCTTGATGATAGCCAACGGGTATATTTAGCACTGCAGACGTGGCTGTCCCGAAGGAAAAGTCATGAGAATCGCTGCTGTTGGGAAAAAAAAGTTCAAGAGGAAGATGAAATTCCACCTTATTATTAATTTATTGCATTACTTTTCAGGTACAGAGGCAAGTGCACATATACTCAGGGTACAAGTTTCAAAGAGGCCCCAACAGCAACCCTATGGAATTGAATGTGGACTTAGAAGGGACTGGCTGAGGGAAGTTGCAATGATGCACTTAAGGGCTAGGTAAGTACTCTTGGAGAAAGGAATATAATATTAATTGGAGGGAACAAACTAACTATGGTGAGGGCTATGTGGAGCATGGATATCAGGACAAACCCATTGACTGAACTGTCATAAGTTCCAAATAATAGCTCACCCCATAACCCTGCAACATCTCACAGTTGCATTGTGCATGTACAGGAAGTACCAAGTCTATATGCTGATGTACCATTCTAACATATTTAAGCAAAAGTTCAAATTCCAACTTATGTTCAAAGATAGAATGTAACACTGTTATACAGTACCATTAAAAGAAGGCAGAAATTAATCTATTCATTGAAGATGAACAGAGATAAAGCACAATAGATTATGCAGGTTAATTTATTTGAAAAAGTATAGTTACTTTATCACCAATTACATAAACTTACACAGTATCACCATCATAGAACAGCCCCAAGTATGGCGAGTTATCAAAAGAAGATTCCAGACAGAGGAAAGGGAACCAGTCAGGAGCATTTGCATTCTGAACAGAGCATAACTGGTCAAAAGCTTGGGATACATTCCCTCCAAATACTCCAGTAAAACAGTAAGAATGGAACAGCTGAATCATACTGGGCGTGCATTCCTAGGGGGGGAAAAAAGGGGACATATACGTAATGGTATTCATTCATGTTTCCAAATGAGATTAAATAGATTATAGTAAAAGTTTGCAGTTATATGTGCAATATCACAATGACAACAAACTTCTATTTATACAATATTATTGCAAAAAAGTAATACAAACCATTAAAGAAGAAAAAATATACTTTGGTTACAAAATTGATGTCTAACTGAACCAAAAGACCTGATCAATCAGGTGATAAGTCAGTTTTACTATTCATATTCCCAACAGCAGGATTTCTCATCTTCCTCTTGAACTTTTTTCTTCCCCCCAACAGCAGCGTTTCTGACGACTTTTCCTTCAGGATAGCCACATCTGCAGTGCTAACATAAGCTTACAGAACATTACAGAAGGTACTGCAAAAAAAAACATTTTGCCAAGGATTTTTTGTCGTGTGTCCATCAGGGCAATTCACATGAATACCAATGAAAACTAACATTTATATGACATGAGAGCAGAATTTTGCTTGGTTGCCAAGTAAACACCGATGGGTAGAGGTGTTGCCATGGAGAATGCTAATGATAATTGCAGTGAACTGCCAGGCTTTGGTTTTAATTTTGAACCAGGCATTAATACAATGTGAGGCAAGGTATAAGAACAAAGAACAAAGAAAATTACAGCGCAGGAACAGGCCCTTCAGCCTTCCAAGCCTGCACCGACATGCTGCCCGTCACAACTAAAAGCCCCTACCCTTCCGGGGACCGTATCCCTCTATCCCCATCCAATTCACATATTTGTCAAGATGCCCTTTAAAAGTCACTATAGTATCTGCTGCCACTACCTCCCCCGACAGCGAGTTCCAGGTACCCACCACCTTCTGTGTAAAAAACTTGCTTCGTACATCACCTTTAAACCTTGCCCCTCACACCTTAAACCCATGGCCCCTGGTAACTGACTCTTCCACCCTGAGAAAAAGCTTCTGCCTGTCCATGCCCTTGATAATGCATCAGGTCCCCCCTCAACCTCTGTCGTTCCAGTGAGAACAACCCCAGTTTCTCCAACCTCTCCTCATAGCTAATTCCCTCCATACCAGGCAACATCTTGGTAAATCTTTTCTGCACCCTCTCCAAAGCCACCACATCCTTCTGGTAGTGCGGCAACCAAAATTGAACACAATATTCCAAATGAGGCCTAACTAAGGTTCTATAAAGCTGCAACATTACCTGCCAATTTTTAAACTCAATGTCCCTGCTGATGAAAACAAGCATGCCATATGCCTTGTTGACTACCTTTTCCACCTGCATTACCACTTTCAGTGACCTGTGTACCTGTACACCCAGATCCCTCTGCCTATCAGTACTCTTAAGGGTATATTTTCCATTTGGATTAGATCTTCCAAAATGCATTACCCCACATTTTTCCAGATTAAACTTCATCTGCCATCTCACTGCCCAAGCCATCAACCGATCTATATCCTGCTGTATCCTTTGACGGTCCTCAGTGCTATCCACAAATCCACCAACTTTTGTGTCATCGGCAAACGTACTAATCAGACCAGTTACATTCTCCTCCAAATAATTCATATACATTACAAACAGCAAAAGGTCCCAACACTGATCCCTGAGGAACGCCACTAGTCACAGCCCTCCATTCAGAAACGTACCCTTCCACTACTACCCTCTGTCTTCTATGACCAAGCCAGTTTTTTATCCATCTTGCAAGCTCACCTCTGACGCCAATTTATCTATATAGAAATATTATTTCTTTTAGAGTTTGGTTTAAGCAGGTGGCACATGGGTATTGGTCAGTGTGTCTGAAGGAGTTTAATGATTAACTTAAGTATTTTGAGATTCATGGTGATTTATTTTAAAAGCAGTCTGCAAGCGACAGGATAATGGGAATTTAAGCAGGAGAATTTTAATGAGCAAAGAAAGTAAACAGTTGTGCATTAAAGTTTCAGTTTAGAAGGTCACAGATTGATATTTGTTCCCTCACTTTTGATGAAGGGAAATACCCACAGCTTTAAAAAAAAGCTTTTGCTTCAGTTTGGGCAGTTTTATTTGCAGAAGTCTTGGCTGAAGCTGAATGTGGAAGACCGTCACTCCTAAAGCAGTGAGAGATTTTAGAACCGTTAAGAAATAGCTTCAGTGTAAGAAGTTTAAAACTAAGGCTGCAGACTAGAAGTGTTTAATTAAAACCTTGAAGGGATTATCTAAAGCTGAGCAAGTCTAACCTTAGAATTTGAAGATTCAAGAGGGTATCAGATTCTCAAGGCTTGGAATTGTAGCACAGTTAAACTAAGCCCTATAGAAATGTTGGAGAAGGGAATTCTCTCCAGTATGTGTATGGTAAACAAGTGCTGTTTGGGATTATTGGAATTGTATTTGAATGTGTGTTTTGAAATTATTAGATAGGTTTATATAACTGGTTTTGTTTAGAACATAGAACAGTAGAGCACAGTACAGGCCTTTCGGCCCATGATATTGTGCCGACCTATTATCCTACTAAGATCAAACTGCCCTGCATACCCTACATTATACTATCATATTCCTTTTTTCGCATACCAAACTTCTACTTTATTGCTGAAACTGAATTTGCAGTATTGTGTGCTTTACGTTTCAGTGAAAGATAATTTCATTGCAACTCAGAAAAACTCTTTACGTTCTGTCAAGGTACATTTCAGTCTGGGATCAGACTTGTCCAGTCATAACATCAGCTGGGATTAAAAAAACATACATATCTGGCATCACACCTACACATGCAAAAATCTGTGTATTTCAAACAGCTTATCCCAGCAACTATTTGCAACAAGCTATGTACTGACTATATACAGCCAGACCAAATATGCAAAGTTCACAATAATACTCAATATTAGACAGGATTCCACAATCAGACAATGCTTGCTAGATAATCCTGAAGGTGCAAAGAATTTCATTGACAAATGATTTAGAATTGTCAGTTTGGCTTGTGATATGGTGCAATGCATGTACTGGAAGCCATATATATCAATACAGGAGGCCCTAACCATAGCAGCCAGAAAGAACCTGCATGCACACTGTACCTGCTTCAACTCAACAAAGTAGTTGACAGCCATTCTCTGGTTCATTTCTCACGACAATACCTTGACCTGAGTCAACTAGCTCAGTTTAAAATTTTGAAAAAGCCCGGGAATTAATTGTCAATGATTAACTGATGCATTTTCCACTGCAAAGCTTCTGCTAAATCAGAAGCAAGATTCCCTTTGCCAACCAGCATTCTCTTCTCACGCAGTATAAATGCTGGTCTATCCTCCTAAATTGGAATTGCTGTGAATTGCCAAGATGAGTAGACGACAAGAAGCTTTGATAAAATGGTACCTTTTTTCAGCAATAGTCAAGTTCTGTAATACTCAACTGCTATTAATATTAAGACCATCACCCTATATTCAACTACAAAGAACAAAGAGAACAAAGAAAATTACAGCACAGGAACAGGCCCTTCGGCCCTCCAAGCCTGCGCCGATCCAGATCCTCTATCTAAATCCGTCATCTATTTTCCAAGGATCTGTATCCCTCTGCTCCCTGCCCATTCATGTATCTGTCCAGATACATCTTAAATGACGCTATTGTGCCCGCCTCTACCACCTATGTTGGCAAAGCCTTCCAGGCACCCACCACCCTCTGCGTAAAGAACTTTCCACACGTATCTCCCTTAAACTTTTCCCCTCTCACCTTGAAATCGTGACCCCTAGTAATTGAGTCCCCCACTCTGGGAAAAAGCTTCTTGATATCCACCCTGTCTATACCTCTCATGATTTTGTAGACTTCAATCAGGTCCCCCCTCAACCTCCATCTTTCTAATGTAAATAATCCTAATCTACTCAACTTCTCTTCATAGCCAGCGCCCTCCATACCAGGCAACATCCTGGTGAACCTCCTCTGCACCCTCTCCACGGCATCCATATCCCTTCGTTAATGTGGCGACCAGAACTGAACGCAGTATTCCAAATGTGGTCGAACTAAAGTCCTACTCAACTGCAACATGACCTGCCAACTCTTGTACTCAATACCCCGTCCGATGAATGAAAGCATGCCATATGCCTTCTTGACCACTCTATCGACCTGCGTTGCCACATTCAGGGTACAATGGACCTGAACACCCAGATCTCTCTGTGCATCAATTTTCCCCAGGGCTTTTCCATTTACCATATAGTTCACTCATGAATTGGATCTTCCAAAATGCATCACCTCGCATTTTCCTGGATTGAACTCCATCTGCCATTTCTCCGCCCAACTCTCCAATCTATCTATATTCTGCTGCATTCGTCCCCTTCACTATCTGCTACTCCACCAATCTTAGTGTCATCTGCAAACTTGCTAATCACACCGTCTATACCTTCCTCCAGATCATTTATGTATATCACAAACAACAGTGGTCCCAACACAGATCCCTGTGGAACACCACTGGTCACAGTTCTCCATTTTGAGAAACTCCCTTCCACTACAACTCTCTGTCTCCTGTTGCCCAGCCAGTTCTCTATCCATCTAGCCAGTACACCCTGGACCCCATGCGACTTCAATTTCTCCATCAGCCTATTATGGGGAACCTTATCAAATGCCTTACTGAAGTCCATGTATATGACATCTACAGCCCTTCCCTCATCTATCAACTTTGTCACTTCCTCAAAGAATTCTATCAAGTTGGTAAGAAATGACCTTCCCTGCACAAAACCATGCTGCCTATGACTAATAAGCCCATTTTCTTCCAAATATAAATAAATCCTATCCCTGAGTATCTTCTCCAGCAGCTTCTCCACCACTGACGTCAGGCTCACTGGTCTATAATTACCTGGATTATTCTTGCTACCCTTCTTAAACAAGGAGACAACGTTAGCAATTCTCCAGTCCTCCGGGACCTCACCCGTGCT